GAGTGGCCATTCCTGAGTGTTCTGTGCTCTGAAACAGGTGTGAAAGTGTCCTTGACCTCCTAGAACGTGCCAGGGTCCCTCTCACGTTGCTCATCCCTTCCCCCCAATCCATGCAAATGAGGCAGAACTCACCCCATTTTATGGAGGAGGAAGCAGAGACTGAGCAGAGGACCACCCCAAGAACTCACCGCAGGAAAGAAGCCCAGGTCTGTCTGCTCAGAGACATCTGCCCGCCACCACACCCCCTCTGCTGCTTCTGCCTGACCCCTAGGCTCACCCAGCCCAGAATTGGGGGGGGGGTGCCACCGGACACAGCTGGGAGGCCACCCGCACTCACGCTGTGCCCCACCCCCAAGTGTTCCCACTGCTGGGTGAATCCTGCAGATGCCTTTCCATTGCAGCCTATTAAATTAGCCCCTCTCTGCAGCCAAAAGAAGATAATGACGTTTTCATTAGCCCTGGATAATGTATTACCCCCTCCGTGACAGCCACATCGGCAAACGAACCTGTTCTCTTCCCTCGGCTCCGCCAGAGGGCCCTCCTCCCCCAAGCCCACCTCTGAGCTGAGGGGTAAGGACTAGTGAGGGTCCAGGGACAGGGAGAGGGGACAACCTCTTCACCTACCCAAGACCCACACAGGGATTAAGGGACAAGGCCCTGAGAAGACCCCAGAAGAGCTGTCATCACCGTGACCACTTACAGCATGTCCATGTGGATGCCTGGAGGTGCCTCTGCCAGCACAGGCATCCTCAGTCCTGGAGCAGGGTGGCATGGCCACCATCACCCCTCCCCTGAACCTGGAGCCAGTAGGGGAGCATGAGTGCCCATAGCCACCTTGAAGTCACCACGGCCAAGGAGCATTTGGGGGACTATCACTGTGCATCATCCCAGGAACACCTGGTTGATGGTAAAAAAAAAAAAAAATCTCTGCCTTCTGCTTCCTGTTATTAGGGTCACTCATGCTACCCAGCCTTAATGTGGAAGGTCCCCAGACACCAGGAGCCACTCTGCAAAATGCCTGACTCACCCCACACGATCGTTCTGCCAGGGTCTCTCTCCCCCCTCTCTCCACAGGATTCGGGGCAGGGGGTGGGGAAATGGAGCCCGACTCTGGGGTCCCAGGACCTGAGTTCTAAGTCCTTCTCTGTCACCCATCACTGCGAGACTGGAACAGGTGGCTTTGCCTGCAGAGACTGTTTTCCCTCCCGTTAAACAGGAATAAGGAAGAGAGTCATCGCACCATTTTTATCACAATTAAATGATCTACACCTAAAAATGCCTGCCTCGAAGCTGGCAAATTGTGAAGTGTTCAGTGTAAGACAGCCACCATTCCTTACTACTACAAGAAGTATTGTCACTCGTTCCCCTTAATCCCGTGGACCAGCCAGAGTCAGGAGGGAGAAGCACCTCCCTTTCTTTCTCTCTTTGCCAATTCCCCTATCTCTGTTTCTCTCTGTGCATCTTTTTCTGCCTCCTTCTCCCCCAACCTCATCTCTGTTTGCGCTCTCTCTCTCTCTCTCTCTCTCTCTCACACACACACACACACACACACACACACACACACACACACACACACAACTCCTCATGGTGACTGGCTCCTCTCCTGGGCTCCGAGGCTCTGTCTCCAAGAGCCACATTCCCAGGCTCTGCTATCAACTGCACCAGGGCACTTGGTAGTGAGGACAGAATTGGGGGAGAGTGGGATTCTGTCTCCCCCTCTGCAAACCCAGTCCAACTCTGCCTCCTGTAGGCACCGCTCAGCCTTGGCCCTGACCTCCCCATCTGATGGTCTTGTGTTCCCTACCAACCACCCTTCTCCTCCATTTCAAACCAGCTCGTGTTCTGGGACAGGAGGAGGTGCCCCTACTCGGAGCTTCTCTGGACCCCGACTCCACACCCACGGGCAGGCGGCCTTTGGAGCAGGTGAACTGCCAGCCCAGTGGAAGAGCAGCTTCCTGGCTTCCTGATTTTCCCCAGTTGCCATGGTAATTGAGGGAGCTGGGTTCTGAGACCGACACCACTGAAACCCAGCGCTCAACTTTGAGATGGTTCAGGCTGGGGAAGCTGGTCCAGGACGGGAGGGGACGGGGCTGCCAGGTCATGGCAGCCAGCCTTTATGTCCCTACTACATCACCTGCTGCTGCTGCTGCTCTTTCCTGAGCATTTACTATATGCTGGGCACTGGGTCAAGGGCTGCACCCGTGTGGTCTTGCCATATCCTTGCGATGACCCCAGGCCTGTTTGGTAGCTGAGGAAACAGGCCAGGATCCTGCCCCACACAGCACCTGCAGGGAGGGGCAGAGCCTGGGGTGGATGGAATTTCTCTGGTCCCCCTTCCAGGGTGTTGAAGACAACACAAACCTTTTCTTCATTCCTTCCTCCCCTCCTCACACCCCCTACACCCTCTTCCCATGCCCAAAGTCACACCCCCTTATCCCTTGCTTGATGTGCAAGACGATCTGAAAAGCACTTATTAGTGACAAAGGGGGGTAGTTTTCTTCTTTGCTTCTTTGCACAAGTCGGAGTGTGAGTGGGCTGGATCCCCTTGGCAGGGCTGTTGGGGAGGAGAGATAGGGCCACCCAGAGCCAGGTGCCGGGTGTGTGTTGGGGTGTGTGTGTGTGTGTGTGTGTGTATGAGAGAAAATCCTGCTCTTTCCTTGAGTCCCCCCACCCCCTGCTTCCCCAAGTGTCTGAGCAACAGCGACAGTGAAATGCAAAATCCTTTGCAATCTGCCCAGGAAAAGACAGCTTTTGCGATGGGTTTATATGGTTACCCATATGTTAGGGCCCCTAAGAAAGGAAGGGAAGCGCGGTTCCCTGCATCTGCCCCTCCCCCAGCCCAGCCCAGCCCTGGCCTCTCCCACAGGCAGGTCTCCCAGGTCACAGGCCAATGCGTCCCCTCCATCCTCCCCTCCTCCCCAGATGCCAGGCCTTAGCGGTGCTCCAGAAAAGACCAGAATCAGGCAACATTTCCGGAAAGGACTGACTCGCCCTCTGCCCACTCAAGAGCCAGGGCCAGAGCCCAGGCCCTGACACCCTGCTGGCTCCTGGGGACTTCCAGGGCTGCCGGAGTGAGGGGTCTGTAGATTCTGCTGTCCCATTAAGGAATATTGCCCCCACATTGATGTAGGGACAGAAATAACCATCCCTGCCTCCTGCGGGGCCCTCTCTGCCCAAAGAGAGCTGCCCTCCCCTGCGGCCACCACATTCAGCGCCCCCCCCCAGACTCCCAGAAATTGTGTGTGTGTGTGTGTGTGTGTGTGTGTTTCCTGATAGAAAAAAAATGGAAATTAGGTTATATAAAAGATGTATGCTTTGGAGCCCAGAGCAGCTCTTAATGAGGGTTGCGACGTCTCCCTCCCCACACCCATAAAGCAGCCCGGTTGGACGTCACCGCTAATTCGTTTCAGCGGTGATAGGATAAAGGAGGGACATTAAGAAATAAATTCCCCCTCACGACCCTCGCCGAGCTCGCGGCTCAGTCCCTACATATTGATGCCGCGTTTCCAGCCGCCGGGCGAGGAGCTACTTAGCGCCGCGGCTCCTCCGAGGGGCTGTCGGGCGGCCGCGGCGGCCGAGCGGACGGGGGGAGCCCGGGGCGCGCGCGGGGCGGGGGGCGCTGCGCGGGGGAAGCCCGCAGCCAGCGTCCCGAACTTGGTTTACTGGGGTCGGGGGAGGGAGGGAGGAAGAGGAGGGGACAAGGGAGGGGTGGGGGTGAGGCGAGGGGGTGGGGAGCGATCGGGGAGGCACAAAGCGGAGGGACAGGGGAGGGACACCATCACCCCTCCCCTGAACCTGGAGCCAGTA